TCATTACCATATACCTAAAATTTGACTAGAGTTATTGAATCATATCATATGCTTATTCATAACAATCGTGCAAAACAAAGCAAACTATATCTGCAGTGCAAGTAAGAAAATAACGAGTACCTGAGGTTCTGAACTGACACCAACTCCCCGGCCTGGCCTGCAAAATGGGAGCGGAAAATTTTTAACACTCGATTATAAACTACACAGAGAATTTTTACAAAATGTAAATAAAAACCCTTCATATGGTTATGTAACAAAGTTTCATCCAGCGAGGCGTTATTTCAGCATAGAGAATGAGTATTAAAAGTTTCGCCGGGAACAATGAAAAAGTCTGTAACCGTGAGCTATTCAGACTGTCGGTGCCATGGTGTTAAGAGATGAATTGAAATTCCTTTGAATTTTTATTTCTTGAACCTTGTTATTGCTTGCTATTCTGTTGATTGAGTAGTTATTATTATTATTTTGTTTTTTCGTGTGGTGGTTTCTCACTTTTTTTCTCACTTTTTATGTTTTTACTCTTCTGACTCAAGTGCCTGGTTATCTCTTAAATGTTAAGTTTTCCTTTGTAGTTTGCAGTGGTAGTGGTGGTGGTGATATGCATGTGGGCGTGTGGGGGGCGGAGGGTAGTGTGGGGCTGTTCCGCAGTTCTACATTTGCCCAGTTCCACAGTTCCATAGTGCTAATACTTCTATTTCTTGGCAGGTCTTTTGATGGCTTACGCAGCACAGCAATGGTCCTTCATGGATCGAGTAGGAAAAGTTACTCTCCACTGCAAAAAATGCGACACAGTACTGGCCACAAGGGAAACTGTGATGTTGGCCAAAGTACCCCTCTTTGGTACACACTTGGCCGTCAGGGAGGGGAAGAAGGAACAAGTAGAAGGGAAACTTCATAAGGTTGCAAATGAAAAGGGCGGGAAAAGTGCACTTTATTGCCCTTTCAATTTTCTTTGCCGAGGGTGTGGCGAACGTGTTGCAAAGGTAAGAAAGGTACAAGGGAAACAGCTTATTTGTTTTAGAATAAAGCGTGTCAATATTTCTCACAATGGAAAAAAGATTATGGCGAACAAACTGTCAAAAGTGAGCAAGGAGTTGGAAGAAGAGTGTGGCATTGAAGTTGTCACCGTTACGAAGTATGCACCAGAAACAGGAAGAGCAGACCAATCCCGTGGAGATAGTGAAGCCATGGTTTATTGTGATACGAGTGGGTGGACTCGCACATCGCACGAACTAGACCCCTTAACGCGAAAAGAGCCGCGAGACTCTCAGCGGGAGGTGTTCCTTTCTGCCATGCGCGGTAATACGCTAGTATATGTACCCACTGGCTTAGGAAAAACCTTGATTGCAGCCATGGTGATGAGTTGTATGAAGAAGTTGAACCCAAGCAAAGTTATGGTATTCCTCGTCGACCGAGCACCGTTAGCGTACCAACAACGTGATTACATCAAGTCACACCTGACAGATTTAACGGTGGAAATACTGGTTGGTAAAATGAAGTCTCTTCAAAATGGGAGTATTCATCAAAAATTAGCTTATAACAAAGTTGATGTGTTAGTCTTAACACACCAGATATTCCTTAACTTTTTAGCCGCAGAGAACAACCCACCCATTCGTCTGTCTGATGTTTCAGTCCTGGTGTTTGATGAGGCTCATCACTGCAGCGGAAACCACCCGTACAACAAGATTATGGAGTACTACAAAAAGACGCCAAACCGGTTTAAACCTGTTGTGCTCGGTCTGACAGCCTCGCCGCCCGGAGAGCTTACAGTCAAAAGAACCAGCAAGAAACTTGAAAAGCTCCTTGAGAACTTGGAAAGTGCAGTAGTGATGCCCATTGAGTCGGATTTGTTGCTTCATGTTAATATCCCAGGCGTGATTTATGAAAGATCTGACTGCATGAACACTGATCAAGTTCTCCTCCAGGAATATATCGAAGAACACATCAAATATCTAATAGACGTCCACTTCAAAGATGTACCGCATCGTAAAAGTCTTGCGTTTCCTGTATTCTCGTCGAATTTTAGAGGTGCGCTGAGAAAGCTGATCGATAGTTACCATGGTAACACGAACTCCTTTGAAGCGCTGATCGTTGTTGAGCATGCAATGGACTTGCTTAGCGTTGTTGAGTTTTGTGAAGTTCTTGGTTACCAGTATGCTGTTGAAAGTCTCAAAGAATGCGTGTACCCCATTGTTTCCGCTAAGTCGCGGAAACATAGTGCCCTGAACAGGTTAATTGGAAGTCAATGTACTTTTCAAGCCCTCAAAAATTTGGTAGATCAAGCACGCAGGGCTGACTACGCTCGTGCAGTTGTCATGTCGGACAGGTACAAGATTCTTGTGAAGCACTTAGAGCAGTTTCTTCACCAAGTTCGGGAAGACCCAACTTCTAGAGGTATCATATTCGTAAACTTGCGCAAAACGACCTTCAAAGTGTGCGAGCAGATAAGAAGAGATATCCCGATTGTGGCCAAAATGTTAAATCCCTACCCTATTGTCGGCCGTGGTCAAGGAAGCTATGACGGAATAACGTGGAAAGATAAACAGGAAAAGCTGTTAAGAAAGTTCAGAGAAGGAGAATCCAAGCTGCTGATTTGCACGAGTGTTTTGGAGGAAGGACTGGACATCCCCGAATGCAACCTAGTCGTTGGCTTCGATGGTGCGACAACACTGCGGGCGTTAGTTCAGACTCGCGGGCGCGCGTCCCGTAGATCTAACAGTAAGTTTGTCGTTATCTGCAATGAAAAACAAGAAAAAGATGCCAAAGATTTGTGTCTCAAGGAACAGAACATGGAAGAAGCCATCAACTGTTTAATGAAGAACCCGAGGCGTCAATCGCAAGCAGAGGAGTTCGAATGCGAAGCGAAAAAACCTAAGCTTTTTCTCCCCAGCGCAGAGGAAAGTGGTGCAGATACTTCTCCAGTCATGCGCTACAGCCCTCGCATATCTGTCACGGTGCGCAATATGGTAGATCAAACATCCCGTGTGATAGATTTTCTGAACGACAACTTCCACGTGATATCTTCAAAGCCAATTAAGTCCACTTCATCGCCCGATGAAGCACTTACAAAGAAACCCACATCAGATGATATGGCCTTTGAACTCGAACCAAGCTACACTGAAGAAGTCAAGGAGTTTCGCTCACAAGAAGAGTTTGCATGTCACGTGACAGAAGCGTGGTGCATGCACCTCACCGACCGTGACGAGAAACCACTTCCGGTTTGGCTCGTAGCCCCGCCATTAGAGACACGCCCCAAATCTAACAAGCCATTTCATGTGTTAAAAGCAAGTTGTTTATGCCTTGGTACTTTAATAAGTCGATGCCATTTTCAGTGTGAGTGGCCTCTACAACCCACCCTAAAAGACACTAAGATTCATTTTGATCACAGCATCAAGATGCTGACCTCGCATTCCTCCAGGCAATCTTCTGTCGTTCTTGATGAAGGTGCTGTTACTAGAGTTTCTTACAAGATAGAACTTAGCTACGACGAGATTGAAGATTTCATAATCGTGGACACTGATAGAAGTGCAGAAGCCATCAACGTCTTTCTAACAGCGAGACACCCTCCACGGCTGTATAAGCATGAAATAATGGGAGATTTCTTCAATCTCGTTCAAATAGATGAACAAAATGACGGAGATGACTCAGTCGTTTCGACAAGTAACGATGAATCGGAAACCGAAGGCCTCCCGACCGACGAAGAATACGCAGATGTAGGTACAGCCGATGTTTATGACGCCTCCCCAGATCTCTCACGTAACCCCACGGATGATAAAAGCTGGGAAAGGGCGTCAGATTTCCACAATGGTGAGAATGCCGTAAGCCAGTGTCTTACTTACTGTGTTAAAATACCATTCAATGAGGTTGTCCAGTTGAGACGCTTGTTGACCACAGTCGAGAAAAGATTCCACAAAAGTGTATTTTACTGCCGAGTGAAGGAGAGCTATGGGAAAATACCAGATGTAGACATTCCCGATAGTTTGCCGTTTGAAGTCAAGTATGCCGCTGGAAGTGTCCTCAGTTTGCATCCTTTCATTCGCGGGAGAGTGCCACGAGGAAAATTTGGTGGACTCTTGCTGAGCAAATCTTCTAATATAGCTATTGCCGCTTTGGAAAAATTGAATAAAGTGTTGGAAAAAGACAAGTTCTGTGACCCAGGCAGCACTCTGGAGTCGCTACTGAAACAAAACAACCCATCGACCTCCGGAATGTATAACAGGCTGGTCCCAGGCCATTGTGCTTTGATAAAGCGCGCGGTCATCACCCCAACGAGACTGTTGTTCTACCCACCGGAAGTCATGGAGAAGAATCGCGTTCTCAGGAATTATGATACAGAAAACTTCCTTCGTGTCAATATTCGTGACGAAGACCTGTCAAAGATATCTGCAGCAAGAGGAAATATCGACGACATATTAGACGGAGTAAATCGTAAATTGGGTGAAGGACTAGTGGTAGGTGGTCAGCGGTTTCAATTTTTGGGTTCCTCGAACAGTCAGCTTCGCAACCATAGCTGTTGGTTTGTAGGGCTCAGTTCTCTACCGGATGACATACGTCACTGGATGGGAGACTTCACCAATATCAAGTGAGTAAGCACTATTCCGTTTTTCAATTTCAAACAAGTTAAAGTTTTGAGTCAAAACTGAAAAAAGAAGAAATGAATATTTTTCCACTAAAGCGATATCGCTCTTTCAACCAGCCTAGCTATTGATCAGAGGTGAATAGGAACACAAAGCAAATGAAAAGGGTAGGAGATTAACAAATGTCGGCCACTTCGTTTACGGCCACTCGATCAGAAGGAATGAGGGCTCTCACAAGAAGTCTAGAATTGTTGTTGTCACACATGCACCGAGCTCTTTGGGTTTTGTACATCTTACCTTGATGTATTTTGCAACTAAATAAAGCTTTAAAGTAGATGTATCAGCGCGAACGATGAGGTTTGTTAAGCAAAATCGTCACGAATGCTACGAACCGAACACGTCAACATCCGCCGTCTTGGATTTTCTAAATGTTACGTTTTATATTGTGAAGTGAAATGTCCCTTTTGCTAACAACGCATCTTGCGGGCTCACAACAATGGCTCCTAACTTTTTGGCCTTGGCGACCACTTTGGAAGATTAGGAGCCAAAAAAGTTAATTATTGTGCCCTGTCTACTCGATGATTGGTAAAGTAAGCCTGTTCAGCCCTTTCATCCAATGAGGTGAACCACTCAATTCGGTTGTGACTCTGTTATTCGTATATATTCCCGTTCAACGCAGTTTACTTGATCAATTTTTTTCTATTTTCCTTTGGCTTCATGTGATATTTTCTTCCAATCTAATTGGTCTCCTGTACATTAAAATTTATGTCATTTGCCTTCCAATAGGTGTGTTGCCTCATACATGGCTCGTATGGGTCAGTGTTTTTCCACCTCCTTAGACGCTGTGGGGTTTGCGACCAGTGAGGATACCTATCATGAGGAAGAAGATGATGTTAAGACAGCTGACGGAGGATACTGCTTCTCCGACGGAGTCGGAAAGATATCCGAAGAGTTGGCCGCAGAGGTATACTGAATGTTCGTTTTACTTCGGAAAAAAGGGAGACATTCTACTCTGACTTCGAGCCCACTGAAACACGAGGTAGTGCAGCGGTTCAAGCCACCTCACGTGAGACACGGCAGAACTGAATAACGTATGCGCACGCGCTAGGTTTTGGCGCGGAAAAACGAATTTTGAGTCGTTCGCACGGTTGATTTTCTCTTCTGTTGCTTCGAGGCGTTGTTTTCCTTGACGCTTCATTCTTTTGCAGAACAACTTACAAAAACTTTGTACATGCCCAAAATACTTTTGATAATTACTTTTCTCCTTAAACACTTTGGAAATAGGAAAATGCATTCGACGACGACAAAATGCCCTGGTTTAAATGCCAGCTCGTTATTTTCGCAAGTTTTCTAAATTTTAAACCTCGCATGCTTGAGCCCGCGTGGTTGACTGCATATCTTTGACGTAACACTTGGTTATTCAGCTCTGTCATGCGGCGCACAATAATCGTTATTAGCTCCCTCCCCCTTCGAATACAATTTTTCGTTGCCATTTTTGGACATCTGGCTGTACTTAATGTGAACTCGTACTTGCACCTTGTGCCGATTTTCTTTAGTTTTATGACACTCAGTTCTTCACAAAGCGTTGTATTACACTGTACTTTATTTTACAAATTCCAAGAGTTTCTCTTGTTGCATTAGACTGAAAAACCACTCCCTATTTTTAAGGTTGTCCGACAAATTGGTAAACCTTTCAAACCATCTGCATTTCAAGTCCATTTCGCCGGCTACAAAGGAGTCCTTGCGCTAGATCCTAGACTTCCAGGGAAACAGGCCATCTTTCGTAAGAGCATGTTCAAGTTTGATAGCTTTCACCGCAGACTGGAAGTATTGCAGACTTCTCGTCCTCAGGTCGCTTTCCTCAATCATGAGGTGATCATGCTTCTGTCTAACCTTGGAGTCCCGGATGAAGTCTTCATCAAATTGCAAAACGACGTGTTAGACAAGTTGGCAGGTAAGAGGATGAGGTCAATAGATTCGTGTCAGAAAATGTTCGCCCAAGAGAGGATGATCACTATTGTGACTGCCACAGGCGACTGATTATCTTTATTGGTAAGGAGAAACTCTAACCGCGCAATTTTCAACACGCAACGAAACGACACGACACGGTTAAAACTGCAAATAAAGCGGCGAACGAAAACCTCTTAGAATAGAAACTAAACTTAATACACAAGGAAAGCTACAACGAAAACAACGAATAAAACTACATAATGCAAAACTTACATTTGTTGCGATGTTGTAGATTTCCTGCCTAGTGGCGAAATAGCTGCTCGTGCTTCCGCTGGTGGCAAAAGAATGCGGGCTCGGGAAAGCAGTTCGTGCATGTGATTTCGGTACATGGCCACCAAAAGTGATTTAAAGAATGGCTCTGTTGTCAGCGGTATCCCTGCATTAGAAACATTGTGATAGGAGACGCCCATTTTGGCTCCACTACCCAGTAGCTGAATAGCATCACGTTCATTCACAAGCATCCCTTTGAACAAGCAAAGGTGTAGTGTGAGATATTACGTAACCAGACTAAATTGAAGGACGGGAAGGGCTGGAGACTAGCTCTATTTGTTTCCAATTCTAACTAAGTCAGCAACAGTTGTTGATTAAAACGGTTTTGTGATAATATAGACAATTGACAAGGAATAAAAATGCTGTGTAAAAAATCACGGGTCAAGAACCTTAGACTAAAAGGCAAATTTTCATCATGTTTCATATAATAAGTCAAAAAAAGAGGCGATATAGTAGTCGATCCCTAACTAATTACTTTTTTACATATGATGCACGATCCTCGCAGTAGATAGCGCTATTTAAGCAATAGCGAAAACCAGACCTGAAAAAAATCAGGCCTGTACGGGATTCGAACCGCTAACCTCTGCGATACTATCTCATTAATCACTTTCACGGGTTTATTACGAATCAACTTAACGGCCTTCTCCCAGTTGGCTTGTTAGCTCAATTGGTAGAGCGCTGCACTAATATTGCAGAGGTCAGCGGTTCGAATCCCTTACAGGCCGGATTTTTTTCAGGTCTGATTTTCGCTATTGCTTAAATAGCGCTATCTACTGCGAGGATCGTGCATCATATGTAAAAAAGTAATTAGTTAGGGATCGACTACTATATCGCCTCTTTTTTTGACTTATTATATGAAACATGATGAAAATTTGCCTTTTAGTCTAAGGTTCTTGACCCGTGATTTTTTACACAGCATTTTTATTCCTTGTCAATTGTCGATATTATCACAAAACCGTTTTAATCAACAACTGTTGCTGACTTAGTTAGAATTGGAAACAAATAGAGCTAGTCTCCAGCCCTTCCCGTCCTTCAATTTAGTCTGGTTACGTAATATCTCACACTACACCTTTGCTTGTTCAAAGGGATGCTTGTGAATGAACGTGATGCTATTGGGGAGCTACTGGGGAGTGGAGCCAAAATGGGCGTGTCCTATCACACTGTTTCTAATGCAGGGATACCGCTGACAACAGAGCCATTCTTTAAATCACTTTTGGTGGCCATGTACCGAAATCACATGCACCGAAATCACATGCTCGAACTGCATTCCCAAGCCCGCATTCCTTTGCCACCAGCGGAAGCACGCTTGATGATGGGTGTGATGGACGAGTTGAGTGTACTGAAACCTGGTCAAGTGAGTTATTTTTTATTAGTTTTTGGAAGTTCTACTACTAACCGTGAACGTAAACCTGGTACAGAGGAGTCTGCCTAAATACAATCCAACATTACCGACTATTTTCAACAACAGGCTCTTGAAAACTGATCTTTGAAATTAGTGCAAATTGAACCCTTTCGCTGCAGAATCCCGTACAGGCCAAAAATTGTTTTCAGGCCTTTTTTCTGCTACTGCTTAAGTAGTGTTCATTACAGCGAAGATCGCTCTCATAGTCATTTTTTTTAACCGTAGTTCACATATGTGAGTTACCCAGTCAAAAAAAGTCACTTTTTGCGATCGAACTCCGCGCGAAATTTTCGACCAACTTGTGAACAGCTGAAACACTTCAGGGCTACACTGTCTGGAAGGGCTATACTATGCTGATGGTCCACGTCCAGATCTAAGAGCTGTGTAACAACCCCCCTCCCCACCATCCAACACCAATTACCGTGTTTACACTTAACTATTGTTGGACTCCCATAAAATTTCAGCGTTACAGAATTACCATATGTCCTGCAAAAAAGCATCACATGGGCTGGGCAAACTTTAAATTCCGCTCTTCCCACGCCTCTTGGGACGCTATACGCGCAGATTACAATGAGTCTCATATCCTACTCGCAACCACACATTTGACCACTTTTGGAAAGATAATGGTGATAACAGGATGTGTGCCTTTGCTGAGTCGTCTTGATAACATGTTCTATCTATTTTATCGCGTCAGGTTTTCGTACAGTATTCCGCGGTTGTAACACGTGAAGATCGGGATGACGAGTTTGACAAGAACAAAAAAATTGTGCTGAAGGGACCGGTGGTGGTTACTCGTAATCCATGCTTACATCCGGGGGATGTACGTCAGCTCGAGGCTGTTGACGTACCAGGCCTCTGTCATCTTGTGGACTGCATCGTTTTCCCAAGCCGAGGCTCGCGGCCACATCCTAACGAGATGGCAGGTAATATGCCTATTGCGACAGTTTGAATGACCTTCTCTTCCGATCTTAAACACTTACACGGCACTTAAGTTTTATTAGAATGACTCCTTTAAGAACCTCATGAAAGGACCTAGTAGGGTAATATAACTGAATTATATTTATTTATTTGCGGTATTTAGACAGGCTGGCCCAGTTCAGCTCAAGAGCCACTAACCCTAAATATCAAGAATCCGGCGACAGTTACAAAATTTCGTAATTAATTTTAATTTTTCTAAAGGACACTTTAATGAACCTTTTTCGAAAATTATATCGAAAAGTTCTATCGCACTTTTTTTTCTCCGTAAAATCGAAAATTTATTTTTAAAATCCTAAGTCCTGATCTGATCTGGGGCTTTAACCCTCGTCCTCCCGCACCGCGGTCCGGCGCTCTACAGTCTCTACAACATCAGCTAACCAAGCGCGGTTGTTTTCATTAGGATCCGTGTGAAAGGTCATCCTCGGAGACCCAGGGGCTGTGAGTCGATTTCAAGTTAAGGGCAGAAGAGCCCCTGGGGACATTGTTTTACAAGACTAGTTCCAAACGGTCGCAGTCGTTCTGGCATCTGATTGGTGCCAGAAAATCTTTGTGTTTTTCTGCCCAATCAGAGTGAAGTGTCGTTTGGAGTCCTTTCGTGTGTTTTAACACGCACATATTCAACAAGCTCTGTTGCTCGCTATGTTTGTTTGGGCCGTGCGACGAAGCTTTGCCCGAGGTGAAAAGTTTCAGTCTCAGCACACAATGTAAGAGAAATCGATCAGATTGTCCGCGAAATCTTACCGGAAATTATACTGAATACTTTCGCAGGTATCACAAGAGAACGAGTTTAAAAGTTTGCGAGGTTCGTATAAAACATAATGGTTGCACCGNATGACCAAGTTTGTGGTGGATTACATCCGGTCTGACCAGTTAGGCGTGATTGACAACGCGCATAAGGCTTTGGCGGATACCGAGAAAGACGGCGTGCAATCCGAGATTTGTATTTTTCTTGCAGAACTGCACTCTTTGGCAGTTGACGCACCCAAAACGGGAAAATGGCCGGGTACTAATGGTATTGGGAAGATAAAAAGGCTTCCTGATTTCATGATGAAGAGCGATAAACCAAGTTATCCCTCAGAAAAGGTTCTAGGAAAGCTCTATCGACGCTGTCGGAAGTTCAAAGATACTACATCTGAAAAATACGATCAAAAAGTCCGTTTGGACGAGTCCTTCCTGTTGCCAGGTAACGATAGATTCGTTGAAAACGCCAAAGAAGTCTATTTTTGGTATCGTGACAAGATGGAGAGTTTGATGCGGGTGTACGGCATCGAAACCGAGGCAGAAATCATCACTGGCTGTTTCATGAAGCTTCGAAATCACTTACATGAAGAAAAAACAGAGATTGCCGAACTCGTCAGCGAAGAGCTGTTCGCGATACGCTCGTACCTCCGTCGGGAATTCTTTCGCGAATTCGACAGCGATGGACAGTGGTTAAAAGACGAGGTGCTGATTTCGGATGAGATGCGTTTAAAGGCCTCGGCTTGGTACATAGTGGCCTACACGCATGCACATGATCACGATAATGATTCAGACGAAAACCCCGAGAAGAGGCTACTCAGTTTTCCTTGGTTTATCAATGATGTCATGCTCGCCATCAAAACGCGAAAAGATCGTCCCAGTCAGCCCCAGGCCTTAGACGTTTGCGCAACCGTGGGTCAGAGCCTTGTTAGGGTGTTTGACGAAGAGAAGGCCTGGTTACTTGAGGAGTTCAGAGTTCGAATAAGAACAGAAAACGTTATATTTCGCCATCTGCAGGCTGTTGATTCCACTTTCTCGATGACTATGATTGGCTCTACTGCTACACTGCTATTTCACAAGACTTCGAATCTGGATTTGTGCTTTTTACCTCAGGATATCCAGGCACGAAACCTACCTGCTATCCCTGTGGTGTCACCACAAGGAAATAACACTTCGATTGAGGAACAAGCGAAAGTATTGAAGTCCCTGATTCCTCTCATGAAGGAGGAGACGTCAAAGGAACAAGAGCAACAAGACGAAAACTTTAAAAATCTTTTCTGGAAAGTTCAACTTGTCAACAAAAAGCATTTCCCCGTAAGTAAGACTTTCCTGTTATTTAAAAAGTTGACCACCTATAACCATGACTTAGTTTTTATTTCCTCAGTACCGTGTAAGAATAAAGGACCAATTTTAGAGCCTTTCGTAAACCCCAAACCAAAGCAACCACAACAGCCCATAATAACAACGGAAAAGTCACCAGGAGCCAATGAGAAGTTGAAGTGAAAGCAAGCAATTTACCTGAAGCTCGGAAAGACCCCAGTGACCAAGTTGTGATTGGTTGCAGCTTCGAATCTGTTTGGTTTCGAATGTGGCGCAAGTTTTTTAGGACCAATAATAGTGCTTTTAGTTACTGGATATCTTAGGGTGTATATCTTTACTAAGAGCTCTAAAAGACCTGATGTAGATGACTTCACTTACGCCGTAGCTTTAGTATAAGTTGTTCACATGTGACTTCGTAAACCATGACACTGTTGAATTAGTGTTGAGACAGCTTTGCCGACCAAACACAGCTTCGTCAATTAA